ACCATTCTTAAAGACTGCAAGAGTGTTGGTTGATGTAGCTAATGGTAATGTTACTTTAGGTAGTAATGGTCAAACTATTAACATTAATGTTTTTTATGAACAAACTTCACTTGAAGAAACAGGTGCTATTAACCATGTTTCTTATTATCTTGCACAGCTTGGAGTTGAGAATGTAGAGATGTTATTAGATGAGATGGTCAACAATGTAGGGCTTGAGCAAATGCTTTCCGATGCCCTAAATGAACTGAGCTTCTAAGAAATGTGAAGAAGTACGTCAAGCCGACGACGTAAACTAATGGCGTTACTTGGGAGGCAACCCAAGGCTATTTTTGTTCTTCCCCTAGTTTATTTTCTATTGTTTTCATTTTTCTTATTTTGTTTTGCTTTTCTTTTCTGTAATGTCAGCTAGTTTGTGTCATCTATTTTTCTAAAAAAAAATAAGAGCCATAAAAGTTACAGGAACAGATTACTTAAGAGTCTATAATATATGCTAATTGTTCTGCCTGGTTTTCTTTTTGTGCATTGCTGCAGCCATTCAGTTTTTAAGCTAATAGGCAGACTTCCTCTTAAGCACCAATTCTGGCGTCTTAGCAATAGAACTAACAACCTTGAAACTCAGCTAGTTCTGGTCATAAGAATTGAAGAAGATGTAAAACTCAGAAGTCAGAATAGAGCTCTTATTTAAAAAAATGATGCAACTGTCGGGTATGAAGAGAAATCAATATTGAAAGGCAGCAGCATCTTAAATATTCTGAACTTAACCAGCTAAGTCCCTTCTTCTTTTTCTTCATTTCTTTTTCATTGAGGACAGTGAAAAGCTTATGTGTAAGGGAGAGGCTGTGTGAAATTCCTGCTATTGTGTGTCATATATGGTGGTTTTTTCCTGTCTTTTTTATTTTATTTTTTTAGCTAAGTTTATGTGTTTGGTTATGGCATAGTCCAAGGGAGATGCTGCCCAATTTTTTATTGGAAAAAAAAAAGAAAAAAGTCTTGTTTATTGTTGGCTGCATATGTTCTGGTTGTCTAAAAAAATCTGCTTCAATGAGATTCCAAACCAATGAATGTGAACCATCAGATATATATAAAAAAAAAATATTTTCCTTTTTGTCACTATTTGACTTGCATTGGATCATTAAATGGTACATAAATTCTTCGTTAACATTATTTGTGTAAGATGGATTACTTTCTCTTTGTGCGATGAAACCCAAAAGGAGGGCCATGTACCTCGTAAGACTCAAATTCATCCACATTCATCCTCCTTCTTGATTGCTCAAATTGGGACTTGCATTTTAGCTTCCTGAGACCGATGAAAATGTGGAAAAAATGATAAAAGACATATTTTTATTAATTATAGCTTTCAAAAATTTAGGCTTGTTATATATTTTACTTTACAAATTATTCCCTTTGCTAAGCCCTTTTGTGTCTACATGACCATTTTTTGGCTAACCTACATTACAAGCTAATGGTCTTTTACCCATGTTGTGCTAAATGGAGTATTATTATTTGGGTTGTGTTGTAGTTGTTCAATGAAAAGAAAAGAAGGGAAAGGATTATTTATATGAAGAAAAAAAATGTAGAAATATAATGAGCCAGGAAAAAAAAATAAAAAATAATTAAAAAATTTCAAAAGTTGAGAAAAAAATGCAGAAAGATACAAAAGTTGAATTGAAAAAGAAATGAAAAAAAAAAAAAAAAGAGACAGGGTTATCATTTGAGTTTGGAATATGGTATTGATATTGTAGTTGCAGTTGTTTGTGACGTTTATATTAAAAATGTCATAGTTTTATTGTTAATATATGCTCCTTAAGCACGACACTTTTACCGCCACAATCCGAATACTTTCCTACCCTTATTCTTAGCCCCATTACAACCAAATAAAAGTCCATTTTGATTTTTCATTGCATTATTGGTCTATCAACAGTGGAGGGTTAGATTTTGTGCAAGTCTCGACGAGGGTCATCAAACCGAAGTGAGGCTCGAGCTAAAATGGTTGAGCATCCTTAGGGTGGATTCAAACATAGGGGAAAGAAGCGGTAATATTGATTGGTTAATGAAGGTGCAAAAGTCTTAGTTTGTATCATGATCCATTCTTGTTAATTTTGACATCAAAATAATTTGTGAAATAAAAATGAAGTTACATTTTATATACGAGTTATTTTATTAATTTGTTTGGGATTTCTCTTGAGCGTAAGTCTTGATTTTGATCGAAGACCAAAAGCTAAGTGTGGAGGAATTTGATAAGTGCATATTTGTCCGTATTTTTATTCCCTGATTTTATTATTGTAGTCGTCTTTTATTAATTATATTGAGATTTTGTGTATGTTTATTGATTTAGATAATTTTATATACAATAATATATTTTTATGATTATTTTACTACATACTTTGCTATTTTATTTGTTATAGGAAGTATTGAAGGTGCTCGGGTCAAGTGTAATATTTGTGGATCAAAGAAATTCTCGTTAATTACTCACAAGGAAAATGTAAGATGAGAAAAAGGAAGTAAATAAATACTTTCTTAATCTCACCTCACGTGGAGTACCAAACCACCCAAAGAAAATCCACTCACTTTTTCCTCAAATCCCTTCCCTGTACACACACAAACCAACCAACCAGAAGGCTCCCTTCCTACTTTCTTTTTGTGCTTCTCATAATAATGGAAGTCAACCAATTTTTATTTCTTTCTCCTTCTTTAATTTTAATTAGCCCAAAAACTCAGCAACAAGATTTCAATTGGCAATTTAGTATGGAATATTTGACAAATTGTCGTATAATTATTCACCCAATTTTGGTTAAATATTTTCTTTTTTAAACAACCCGTAAATTAATGGATATAAATTGGGGAACTCTTTCATCAAAGAGGACACACAAGCAGAACCACAACATTGAGGGTTGTGAGATCGAGTTTATAGTACAAGGGTAATTGAAGAGCTACGATATTGAGGATTATTGGAGGCGAGTGTTCAAAATCGGTGGAGGATCGAGTGTAGCGGCTACCTTGGTGTACTCCTAATTCATAAGTTTCTCCCTACTTTAATCCTTAATTATCTAGTTTGTTAGATTAAACTTATTCTATTATACTTGTTGATTGGATGTAATTTTGTCTTTGATTTTTCATGATTTTGGCCTCACTATTGAACGCTCAGTTTATTAGTACTTTAATATTGAGTTTGGTATTTATTCAATTCATATGATCATTTGTTTAATTTTAAGGTTTAATCTTGTATGTGTGATAGTATACGATTACATCTATAAAGTAATTAAATTAGCTAGATTATTGTTAGACGCGGCGTTTGATAGTAATTTAGAGTGAATGACTTAAATAATTAGTGCGAGCGGCTCATGTTGATTATATTAAGTGTATGAATTGATCGATAAAAGTTGTTTATTGGGTTGGTAATATTTTAGCAAGAATTTGGTAGTTCTAGTGAGCAAAATAAGGATAGTCCGCGGTGAAAATCCGGTAACCTAAATGTTAAACCGAGTTTTGAATGAGACTAAAGGAATGGAAATAAGAGGTTTAATTGTGTTTAATTTATCAATGATTGAGCCCCAATTATGTTGGTTACTTGTTTGTCACTTGTAAATATTAGACTAGTTTTAGTTTAGTTCTCAATTTCATGGTTTATTATCCTTAAGCACCCCCCATCTTATGTATATAGTGTAAATATTATTCCTTTTATTATTTTATATGTGAAAAAGATATACAGTTATATATTATGTATTATTAATTAGTTAAGCTTTGAATTCCAAAAATTATAAAATCTCCTCGTGGGATCGACCCTTTCTTACCCTTTTACTAGTTATTTATATTTTTGAAGGTAAAGATAGGTTTTTAATTTAAAACTGTAAACGACACGTATCAATCAGCAAGATTTTCATGATACATAATCTCATAAAAGAAAGGTGAGTACATGGAGAAATACATATATAATTCAAAAGCTTAGTAGTATCATGGCCGAAAACAAGAATTAAGTACAGCGCCTCAAAAGACAACATATGAGTTATATGTTAATGATTATATTGCCTTATACATCTACTGCATATGCAATTGTGTGAAAGGCATAGATGCTGCTTAGTATAGTCATTCAACTCAAGTCCTAGCCTGATTTATTCCACACCTACCAAGCACCAAACATCACAAAGCATAAGAAAACACATGGTTAACAGCTACACTTTATAAAATTTGATCCTAAAGTACAATTCTTGCCAAATATAAGTGGAAATGGAAAAAGTTCCAAAACGGATTGGGAAAACTAAAGAACCATAAATAGAACTTTACAAGAAAAACTCCAAACGGCTAACATATTAGCCACATAGCAACCATTAATTTGATAAATATATCCATAAATTACATAAAGGATAGGTTTGAGTGGAGAACCAAGAGAAGAGAAAAAAAAAATGAACTTTATTTCCCAAGAATCAAAATGTACTTTATTAAAATTAAGGTGGTGAATGCCCAAATTTACCTTTGATAATGCTACTTAGGTTAGAATCATCCTAAATTCCTAAGTGAAACAGAATGATGTTGATAATGCCACTCTACGTTGGAACCATCCTTGAAGAGTGAAACTAAAGTTCTAAATCATCAACCTACCTCAACTCCTTTTAAGAAAGGCAAATGCTTTAAATATTCAAGCCTTTGTTATCTATCTATTTCTACAATCACTACTCAAATATCTAAGACATATAATAGTGAATGCAACAAAACACATCTATACATCCTTTCAACATTAACATAGAGATATAATCAATATATGTTCCAAACCTAAGTAATTACATAATATGATCTCATTTCGATTGCACAATGTAATATACAACATCAAATAATCAAAACAACTTAGACATGAAATTGCAAACAACAAAATTCAAACTTTTAATTAATTGAAATTTACAAGTAACCTAATCATGGTCCTCACCAACAAACTGAATTCATAAAATTGCGCAAAATCGATGAAAATTAAAGACAAATATGACTAAAACTAGAGATAAAAAACTCACATGTTGAAGCATCCCTGGCATTTAACATCCTACATCAACCCCACAAAAACCAAAAAAAAAACCACACACAAATAATTAGAAACAAATAAAATTAGATAAACTTGAAATGATAAGAAAAACAAACGAATAAAAGGAGAGAAATTTATACCATGAAGAAGGAATTTGGGGATTAGACCACCCTCGCAGACCATTCTTCCCAGATCCACACTCAGCTCATATACTTGGATCTCTTCAGAGCTGTGATATGGAGAAAAAAAAAAAAAAGCAACTAAAACCTAAATTTTGCAGATATAATCAACAATAAAAGATGGGTATTTGAAGAAACTCATACCCATGAAAAATAAACCAAAACCCTAACAATCGAAGCGAAAACAAGAGAAGAAGCAGCACCAAGGAAGCCTAAAAACAGAGCAATTTCATCACGATTAAGATCGCAGTCTACATGGTTGATTGATCAAACTAGCATAAGAAGGTGATTAGATCTGAGAAATAGAGGTATAACAATGGCGATAAACCCTAGAAAACAATTGATAGGGTAAAAGACGGCTAGAGGAGAACAGAAAAAGGGAGAGAGAATTTGTGGTTGCGGTGGTTGTGGATGAGGTTGCAGCTGCGGCGGTGGTAGTGGATGTGATTGCCTTCATCTTTGAGGAGAGATTGAGAGGAGAGTGAACAGAGGAGAGAGATCTGAGGCTTGAAAAAAAGAGAGAGATGAGAGAGGGATGGAGCAGGAAATATTAAAAATAAGGCCAAATTAGAAAATAACACCTGTTAAAAAACCGTATTTTGATTTTAACACCTTAACATTTCAAAGTTTTATTATAACACCTACTAAAAAATTAAAATTTTGGTTTCACCACCAGAAAACGGATTACGTGACAGAAATTGTGCGTGGGCCCCACAAGTTAGTTCACTTTCCAAATTTCTTCCCATTCATTTCGACTATTTCCAGATTGTCTGTATGAAAATTGATAAAATCCACAAGTTCCAAATATTTTGAATGATGGAGGAGCCAACTACTGACCCTCAGTCTGAACCAACATCAGCTGAAGAGGTTGCAGAAAATGAGGACTTAGCAACCGAGATTTTTCGATTCCAGCCACCTCACCCACCCCACCCCTCGCCGGCGACCTGCCCAATTGCCGAAACCCCTCCCCCCTTCCTCCACCACCCCGAAACCCCACCCAAAACCCCCATCCCCTCCCCTTTCCGATTCCAGCCACCTCACCCACCCCACCCCTCGCCGGCGACCTGCCCAATTGCCGAAACCCCTCTCTCCCCCTTTCCTCCACCACCCCGAAACCCCACCCAAAACCCCCATCCCCTCCCCTTTTCGATTCCAGCCACCTCACCCACCCCACCCCTCGCCGGCGACCTGCCCAATTGCCGAAACCCCTCCCCCCTTCCTCCACCACCCCGAAACCCCACCCAAAACCCCCTTCCCTTCCCCCCTTCTGTCATTTGTGTCAATAAATCAAATGGGTATCCAAAATATTTCCAAAAAAATTAAAAAAAAAATCAAGAATTTTGCCAGAATTTTTCAAAGATCAAATTTTTTTTAATGGGGTTTTTGAAAAGGATGGAAATTGTGAGTGGGATTGAAAGAATAAGTATAAATGAAGGATAACTGGTTGGGTAATTAATGGAAGGGGAAATAGTCGAAATGAATAGGAAGAAATTTGGAAAGTGAACTAACTTGTGGGACCCACTAACAATTTCCGTCACGGAATCCGTTTTCTGGTGGTGAAACCAAAATTTTAATTTTTTAGTAGGTGTTATAATAAAACTTTGAAATGTTAAGGTGTTAAAATCAAAATACGGTCTTTTAACAGGTGTTATTTTCTAATTTGGCCTAAAAATAAACATAATGGGGAGCGGTTTTGGTTTCAAACCAAAGTTATTAAAATTAGGATCTTCTTTGAATCGGAAGGGGCTCCCAGAATCAAATTATAAAATCGAATCGTAGAATCGTTAGATTCTACTGACATGCATAATCAAGACGTCATATCTAAATTTAATTAAATATATTTAAATTATGAGTTTGCAACCTAACTATTGATATAAAATAGTTGTTTACCCATTAAGTAACCAATAATTGACCATATATATTTATAAATAACTATGTAGGCATGTTTAAACTTGTAAGGATTTCGCTAGTTAAGAGAAATATGTAAAATCGGGTAGAATCATAAATCGAATCGCGTGACATACATGAATCGTAAAATCATAAGATTCTAAGATTTAAATCGGGATTCTAATAACAATGGTTCAAACCGCTCCTATTTGTATCTTTTTTAATTTTTTAAAGCTAAATAGGGTTTTTAGGAAGCGGATTACATTAACTACTTCCCATTTGGCGCAGCTTATTTGCATTTTTCTACTAGTGAAATAATAAAATAATGAGCCTTTCTAACAAAGGTGAGGTATAAAACACAAACTATTTGGTGCGGCAGTCCGCACCCAATGTTTCATGCGGTGACATCGATGATACAGCAGCTAAAGCATCAACCAACAACTCTGACTCTAATGACGATGACGATGACAATGATGAAGCTCAAAACCCCAAAATTAGAATTAGAACTCTCTTGTAATCCCAAAGAGCCAATTTTGGCATTATTATAAATTAACCCCAGAATTTTTCCGACAACCAATTTCGGCGGAGGAGGTAAGGCGACCATGGAGACGATAAGGAGAGCAAAGATGCGGGAAGATGACTTTCATGCATGAGAGAAGCTTCCACTGTTGAAGAGTTGAAGGTTTGTAAAGAAAGAGAAATGAAAGTTTTTGCAACAATGCAGGATATAGCGAGTAGCGATTTTCGTCAATTTATGTTGAATTTGTGTTACTTTTTTTATATATATTCTTGTATAGTATAATTAATAAAACGTATCAGCCAACATTAGCCACTTATCAGACATTAATAAAAATGTATCGGCCAACAAAAGGATGAAAAGCCAACAAATGAAACATATCTGCCAACAAAATGATAAAATCAACAAACAAAAAGCAACATATAAGCCAACAAAATGAAATGTATAAGCCAACAAAACAAACATATCAGCCAACAAAATAAACATATCAGCTAACAAAATAAAAATATCATCCAACTAAAGAAACATATCAATCAACTGGTGTCTGATAGCAGCCAACAAAAGTAACATATCAAACATTAAAAAAAAACATATCAACCAACAAAAAGAATATATTAGCCAACACAAAAAACATATTAGCCAACAAATGAAACATATTAGCCAAGTCTGCCACACGTAATTATGCGTACGACAGCCCGCACACAATACCTTCTCGGTATAAAATAAAGTAAATCACCTTACTTATACACTATATAGAACGTAAAATCATACAACATTGTGTTGACGTAGCCAAGGGTAAAAATTAGTCCCTTAATCGGACAACCTTAAAAAGTGTAAACTTTTATCATATCTTACTCTATTAAAATACAAATTTATATTTATCATGGTTGTATTTTTTCAAAATTGACGATTATATATCAATAAATTTGATAAAAAAAATATAAACCTATACTAACTAACTAGACGAAATAACTATATGTAACAAGAAGTGAACAAGCATAGTAAAAATGAACGTAGAAATGCATTTTTAGGGGGGACAAGATCCACCAAACATGCTTCAATAATAATAAAGAAATATTCTAACTAGATGAGAAAATATCACCAAAGTCTGAGGCAAAAAAAATAAAAAATAAAAAATAAAAAATAACCAACGTGGCAAATGGGTGCAAATTGGCAGCCTTAAATCTCACCCAAAATACATAACAAAAGAAATGAAAGACAACCAAGTAAGCTATGAAAGCAATTAAAATAGTGGAGTATAAGTCATTATGCCCAATGAATTCAGCTACTGGATCTCATTGCTTTAACTTCCACCCATTTACTCCCATCTATATCACGTGTGTGTGTTTTTTTATCATCATATAATTATTGATACAATCTGTCCGAATTGAGATTAATCTGATCTAGTATTAATTGCTAACAAAAGAATGATTTTAGTTTACGGGCTCGTAGTGGTAAAAAGTGCAAATCAAAGTAGGGGTGGGCAAAAAATTCGATCGGAACGATCCGATCCGCGATTTGATTGACCCAATCCAAAAAATTAGATATCAGATCCGGTTTTTCGATTTCAGATATTTCGGATCGGATATCTGAAAATTTTCGGATCGGATTCGGATCACGAATCTAGAAAAATCAGATAATCGATCCGATTCGATTTTTCAATATAAAATAAAATTATAAAAAGAAATTAACTAATTTGCAACAAACTCCCACTTAGAATGTTAGCTCTAGTTATAATGTATTATTGTAGTTGTATCTTGGATTTAAAGGAAGTGATTTTTTTTTTTTACAAGTATTTTTTAGTTGCCTTAATAATCAAGTGAACCTTATTGCATCATTGTGCTTGAATTTGTTGCGATTATTTAATTTTTTTATAATTGTTACGAAAGTTCATAAAATATAAGATTTTAAACAACACAAATCAAGGGCATTTTACCAAAAAAAAACCCAAATTTCGATATTAGTATGCGGATCGAATATCCGGTGTTCCGATCCGAAATTTCAGATATCCGAAATCGGATATCTAGTTTTTTCGGATCGTAATTTTCCCGATCCGAAATTTCATATCGGATCGGATCGGATATCCGAAATGGCCACCCCTACATAAAAGGAGGTTCTTTTATTACTATAACGTGTAGTACTTTTTTTGGGTAACAATCTTTATCGCAGGAAAAGGGAATGTTTGTCATTTCCCTACTTTTTTCTTAGGTGTTAGTCTTCGGAGTAGTTAACTTTATAGGTAAACTGACCAATGTTGAGTATTGTGCACGGGTCGTAAAAAATTACTAGATATTAAAAAATTACTCCGACACTAAAAAAAATAAAAAAAAAAATAAAAAAAAAAACACTTATCAAATTTTAGAGGGTCAAACGATGCCTATTTATCATATAACTCCATAATACTTAGAAAAATGACACATTCCCCTAGCGTGACAAAATATTGTACTTCTATACTATACGATTGTCATATGCATATGTATAACAATACAATATAATGTACACATTTTTACTATAAAAGGAAGACTACCCTTATCCAAATTTTCACTCACCACTTATTTTTTATATTCTTCTATCTTCCTTCATACCCGAAAAAAAAAACCCAAGAAAAGCTACCATTAATTCGGCCACCATGTTCCAAAATAACCAAGAAAATCAACATTTCTTTACCTTTGAAAAATACATAAGGATGATAAGGGTGTACTTCATATATATTACGGCGTTAGTGGTCCTGCTCATGGTCGCATTAATTTACTTACTAATTAACAAGTGAAGCGCAAAATTACTTCGCTAGAGCAGGGCAAAAATGCATGTGGTGTTGCCTGTACTTTGATTTTTTGTAATTTAGTAGTTTAGAAGTACTAATTGTAACATGCTTTTCGGATATTATGAATCAAAACTATTATTACAACTTGTATTTTTTCGTTTTAAATAGCTTAAATACTATCATTAAGTTTATAAAAAAAATTTAGCATATACTTGTGTTATTATCACACATATTAAAATAACAATATCTTTTAATAGCAAAATCATAGTAATTATAACATAAATAAAAATTATAATAATAAAAATAAAAATAGTAATATTAATGATATTAATAATAATAATAATAATCATAATAATAATAGTAAT